CGATTCTCCTGCCTCAACCTCCCAAGTAGCTGGGACCACAAGTTTGTGCCACCATACCTGGCCAATTTTTGTATTTTCAGTAGTGATGGGGTTTTGCCATGTTGGTCAGGCTGGTCTCAAACTCCTGACCTTGAGTGATCCACCCACCTCGGCCTCCCAAAATACTGGGATTACAGGTGTGAGCCACCAAACCTGGTCTACTTCCACTTTAAAATAATGATATATGATCACTATCAACTTACCTTTGGTGCTTTCAAAATTAGAATTTGTTGTTTACCTATAGGTGACACCAACTACGAACATCATGAAATAAACCTCCACTTACTTAGTATGAATGAAAAGAACAAGTGGGTACTTCTCTTGAGGACTTAAAAGATTCATGTTCTAACAAACCTAATTCTTTCAAGGCCAAACCTGTGTACCTTAGAAGGAGGTCACTGTGTGAGCAAAGTTAGAAATGGGACCCCTGTTTACGCCAAGTATCAAAGGTTAAGCTGTCTCTCCCTGGTAGCTTTCACGTTAGATCGTTTTTCAGAAATGTCTTTCCACATTATCTGGAAATGTTAAGTCTTCTTCAGAGAAAAGGTTTATCCATTGGATGCTTTGGTATCTTTCCTCAAGACAACACTGATTTAGTGTTTTCACCCCAATAAAAGGAGACTTTGATCACTCCAGCATCTTTGTGACTCAGGGAGAGAGACTGAAACATTAGCAAATATTTTTCTACAGACTGAAAAAATGTTATTTCTTATCAAGGATTGATATGATCTTCTGACACAAATGGAGTTTGGAAAAGGATAAAATACCATTCACACATTCATCAATAAACATTTATTAAGGGCTTTCTCCCATACTGAGGGGTAAAGTTGGCTCTAAAGATAAACTAGACATGAACCTTGCCCTCGAGGATTTCACATGGTGTTTAGGGTGACTAGACTTAGCTATGTAAATGTAATAATTATGGTACAGGATATATAATGTTTCATGCTGTAAGTGGGGATTAAAATATTCCTAACAAATTTTACCTGAGGAAATTATCAACTTTAAAAATGTGTACATTGGGCCAGGAGTGGTTCACGCCTGTAATCCCGGGACTTTGGCAGACTGAGGCGGACAAATCACCTGAAGTCAGGAGTTCAAGACTAGCCTGACCAATATGGTGAAACTCCGTCTCTAAGAAAATTATAAAAATTAGTTGGGCATGGTGGTGTGTGCCTATAATCTCAGCTACTCAGGAGGCAGAGGCTGGAGAATCGCTTAAGCCCGGGAGGCAGAGGTTGCAGTGAGCTGAGATTATGCCACTGCATTCCAGCCTGGGCAACAGAGCAAGACTCTGTCGGAAAAAAAAATTGTATACTTTTCATTGCTTCACTTGAAATCCCAAAGCTCTAATATAAAACTCTCTGTGGAAGACTATCTGAATGTAATAAATTGCTATTGAAGAATTCCTAATAAAAAGTATTCAGATTGTGGCATCTTTCTGGTAGTAAGAAGGCCATAAATGTTCAGTAGTACCCATCCACATGGCTACCTAGATTCTTGGGAATGGTCATTTCTCAAGGGGCTGTCAGGCTGTCTGGGTCTGAGCAGTAATTTGATGCATGTATAGGGTTGCTTCAGCTTTAGAAGCATGTTTCCATCTATTAATTATTATCTCTCTGGACAGCCTGACACATAGTAAGGGCAGCTAGGGCAGCAGAGTCCTAATTCTGTTCAGCTGTCCCTGCTGTAAAATGACTGATTTGGTGGCCAGATTCTCTCCAAGGTTCCTTGTGTAGCTAGGTGGGTAGGGCAAATTATATTATCACTGTTTCATAGAAAGGGAAGCTAAGATTAGGAGAGCTTAAGTGACTAGCCCAAGGCCTCAGATAGTAACTGATATCTAATACTTGAGATTAGACTTCAGGCCCAGAAGGACAAAGCATTTGCTTCCATATCACACTCAGAACCACACCTAATATTTGTGGTTAAGAGTACACATAGAGGCCCATATAACATCAAGTATTTAAGTTATAAATCAAGATAACAAACTGTTAAACAAAATATGATCTGTCCTCCCATCTTGACAAATACCTCTTACAGGGAGCTGGATGGCTGGTTGTGATTTGTGAATTTTGGACTTCTCCAAGGGCCAGGCTGGAAGCTGTCACAGAGGATAAAGCTCATCCCAAACGATCCCTCTTCCTGCACTACAAGGGGCCCAAAGTACCTGGGAGTGTCCCCACCTTAGCCCGCAGGTCCAGGTACTGTCCACACCCCAACGAAGAGCAATTTCTTGGACACAGGGGTGAGTTCAGAGTCCCGACCAGATCCTGGAAGTGGACTTGGCACCATGTAGGCAGGGCAGTCCAGAGTTCTGACTACATGGAGTGCATGTAGTCTAGAAGAGGGTCAGGCTCCAGCTGGGCCATCGATCTAACCGGAAGAGGGGCACTGTCAGAGGAGAGCCAGAGGGTGGCTGTGGGCAGAGGTCCCTTTTGCTTGGGTTTAAGAGCCAGTCTGATCACACTGCCTCTAAATTGACCCTAGAAAGAATAAAATACCAGAACATTTATGTGGCGAGTAAGTATGGTCTAGTGGTTATGAGACTAGGCTCTGCAGGCAAATCCCTGGGTTGTAATCTTAGCTTGGCCACTTTCTAGTTGTGGCATCTCAGGCAAATTACTGATCATCTCACAGCCTCAGTTTCCTCATCTTAAATGTTTATTATGGGCCGGGCGCGGTGGCTCAAGCCTGTAATCCCAGCACTTTGGGAGGCCGAGGCAGGTGGATCACGAGGTCGGCAGATCGAGACCAACCTGGTCAACATGGTGAAACCCCGTCTCTACTTAAAATTACAAAAAATTAGCTGGGCACAGTGGCGTGTGCCTGTAATCCCAGCTACTCAGGAGGCTGAGGCAGGAGAATTGCCTGAACCCAGGAGGCGGAGGTTGCGGTGAGCCGAGATTGCGCCATTGCACTCCAGCCTGGGTAACAAGAGTGAAACTCAGTCTCAAAAAAAAAAAAAAAAAAAAAAAAAATGTTTATTATGAGGAATTATGGTACATGTAAAGCGCTTGATGGACATTACACATTGGCAGGGTTCTCTCCAGCTGTAGTAGGCGAGTTTGCCTCAGAGGTTTTTTTTGGAGAATTATATAAGCTTCATTACATCCAAGCACTCTGAGAGTCAAGGTGAAAGCCTCCTCTCGGCAGGGCGAGGCTCGGGGTGGGCACCAACCACCCCACCCAAGGCATCAGGCCGGTTCACGTCTCGCCCGGTTTTGTGCCCAAGGACTTCACGCTGTGGACTTGCCTGGAAAGAAGCTGGGGCCAGGGGTTTAGAGAAGGTTAACCAGCAAACGCAGCGTGAGTCACGGCGGCACTAGGAACTGAAACCGAGTGTTAGCAGTGCCCAGGTTCACCCTCCGATGCGGTCGCTGAAACCAGAAAGCAGTGACATCGGGTTAAAACGAAAAAAAAAAAAAAAATAGGCAGGACTGGGAGCCAGCGCTGACGCAGCTCCGCCGCCACCCTCCCCACCCCGCACCCGAGGTGTGCGCCGCCGCGCTCAGCCTGCAGACAGGTCTTGACATCCCTCCCCGTCGAGGAGCGAGGGAGACTCCGGACAAGTCGGGGCATCTCCCTCGCACCTCCCGGGAGCGCCTGCCCAGCCAAGTCTAGCAATTGCCCGGCCCGCCAGCGGAGACGCTTCCTCTGAGGCAAGCCTGGACACTCCCCAACCCCTCTGGGTGAAACGAATTCCAAGTGGCCCATTTCAGCTCCTCGCCCCTCCCACTCCCAGCAAAAAAACTTGGCAACTCTGCGGTCCCTTGCGGACCAAAACCTGTAATTAGCCCTTTGTGCTCTCTGTAAGGGGCAGTCCTGACTGGAAAGTGAGGAGTCAGACTCTCTCGAAAACACCAACAAAGAACTATATTTAGTTCTGAGTTCTCCGCCTAAATGCCTCTTACTTTTTCACTTTTACTTCAAAACGCCAGGGTTGGGGAAGTGGGAAGCAGGGGGCGGAGGAGCAGCGGAGAAAGAACAGCTGTGCCTCTGCCTCTCCGCTCAATCTCTAAAAATAACCAATCGCAAGCGGAGGCTACTTTTTAGCCAATGAAGCGGCCCAAACTGACAGAGCCTTGGCGGCAGCCAATGAGCAACACATAGGAGTGTGAGACTCGCGCCCCGGGACCAATGAGTGCGGAGTCTCGGAGAGGTAATTTGAGCTACAGTGTGGGTGTGTGGTGCAAAAGCTTCCTACTTCCAAGCCCCAAAACCCGCTCCGCGACTGAGCATGCCCTGAACTGTGGGGGCCACGAGACTTCTGGATTGGGGTGTGATCCGGTCTCCGGGTTTTGACCGCAGCCGAGCAGGGAGATGGGTAGGACCCGAGGGACCCTGCTCCCGGAGAGCTGCAGGTACCACAAGCTACCCTTTGCCTAGTCGGGGTAGTATTTGAGGCCTGGAGTACCTCCCGTTTTCTTTGTCCAAGGCTGCAGTGCACACAGAAGGCAGAGTAGCGTTTCTGTGGCGAACGGTTTAGAAAAATCTGTGGGGCAGGGACGCTCCGCCGGCTGCGCGTGCATTCCACGGCACCCACAAGCCTTCGGGTTTCCGGCCCCCAGACACGCCCGCCCGGGGCTGGGTGAATGGCGTCCCTGGGCCTTTGATAACGGGAGTTGGCAGAAGCACAGCCTACTCCATCCCTGAGGCGGCCCGCGGCGCCCACATGCTTCTCGCAGAGCCGCCGCCCTTGTGCACCCCTCCCATAGCTGTAAAAGAAAGCGGCCTGCTTGCTCCTTATGCACTTTCCTCGCCCCCTTGTTCGCACACACACCCCATCTCCTAGCCAGTTCCTAGACTCGCGCCGCTCCCAAAACAGGACCCAAATCCGGAGCCCCGCCCACGGCCCCGCGGAAAACCAGGAGCGGCCGCTCGGGCAAGGCGCGGTCGGAACGCACTGGGCATGCTCGCCGGGGCGGGGAGGGCCGGGTTGCGCGCGGCGAATAGGAAGCCCTCGCCCAGCAGAGGCTGCGGGAGAGAGCGCGATGGGCCGCGGTGGTGGGCGCACGTTCCGTGGGGACTCATGCCACGCGCGTCCCGGCCCGACGCGCAATTAGCAGCCACCTCCGCAGCCAGCCGCCACCGCCTCACCGCCCTCCCGGGCTGCTGCAGCGAGGAGCTTCTGCCGTCGCCTCGCGCAGGCTGCGGGCATTGTCCTCCCGGTTCGCTGCCCGGGCTGCTGCCGCTGCCGCTGCGGACTGCTGCGGGGCCCGGACCCGCGCCCCAGGGACACGCCGCCGCCGGCCGGCCCGGCGCCCGGCCCCCGCTCGGTGGTTTCTGCCTTGCGTTCTTCTCTGGGCTACTCTCTCCTGGGTTTTTCCTGTGGAGCTGAGGAAGGGGAAAAGAAGTCCAGCAGCCAAGCCCAGCCTTCCCCGGCGCGCAGCCCCGTCGGGGCCGCGGCAGGCGCGGCGAGAGCGCTGACGGAGCCATGAGAGAGTACAAAGTGGTGGTGCTGGGCTCGGGCGGCGTGGGCAAGTCCGCGCTCACGGTGCAGTTCGTGACGGGCTCCTTCATCGAGAAGTACGACCCGACCATCGAGGACTTCTACCGCAAGGAGATTGAGGTGGACTCGTCGCCGTCGGTGCTGGAGATCCTGGACACGGCGGGCACCGAGCAGTTCGCATCTATGCGGGACCTGTACATCAAGAACGGCCAGGGCTTCATCCTGGTCTACAGTCTCGTCAACCAGCAGAGCTTCCAGGACATCAAGCCCATGCGGGACCAGATCATCCGCGTGAAGCGGTACGAGCGCGTGCCCATGATCCTGGTGGGCAACAAGGTGGACCTGGAGGGCGAGCGCGAGGTCTCGTACGGCGAGGGCAAGGCCCTGGCTGAGGAGTGGAGCTGCCCCTTCATGGAGACGTCGGCCAAAAACAAAGCCTCGGTAGACGAGCTGTTTGCGGAGATCGTGCGGCAGATGAACTACGCGGCGCAGCCCAACGGCGATGAGGGCTGCTGCTCGGCCTGCGTGATCCTCTGAGGCGGCTGCCGCGCGCCGGCCGCGCTCTGCGCACAAAAGCCAAACGCATCCGACTCTCTAAATGTGATTTCTTTCTTGCTTTGAGATTGGAGACCACTTTGCATTGGGCAGGGTTTCTTGGGAGCCCTGCTGGCCTCCGCGGCCGGCGGCCCCTGCCTCCACCCTGTGCTTGAGGGGGTGTCCCGTCCTTCCCAGCCGATACTCTGGTGGAAATGTGGCTCTTTGCAGCATGTACGTTTCTCCCTGATTTTGGTTGATGCATATTTCCCCGTTTAAGTAGCCGTTAGGGCGCAGTATCGGCAGCCTGACACCCACCAAGCAAAAGTTTCAGCCTGGGGGAAAAAAACCGGGGGGAGGTGTGGAGGAAAAGGAGGGGGAGAAGGTAGAAAGGGTTTTTCTTTTCTTTTTTCTTTTTTTGGTCAACAACCGTTTTTCTAGTTTCAAGTTTTAAATACATGGAAGGAAGTCCGGGAGAACCACATGAAGGAGCAGGAGAGGAAGAAACTTTTGTTTTTTCCTTGTTTTCCAGGAGTAGCTGGAAATTAAGATCGGGTTCCTTTTCTGCCAGCTTGGAAGGGCAACCCCATGACTGATTGCGATTCTGAGGATGTCTATGCAAAGTTGGATTCTTGTTACAGTGTATCCAATCTGAAGTATTGCACATCTGAACTGGGACTGTTAACACTGATGCCAATACAGTGTGGGGTGCCAGAAAGTGTCTGCTGATATTTGTGGAAAAAAAAAATCTATTTTGTTTACCTACTGTATCAAAGGGGAATCTGGGGGAGAACGGTAGTATTTTTTTTTAATCAGCTGTGAAAAAAATGTTACAGATCTGCACATTTTCGTGTGTACTATGGTATGTGTGTGGTGTGTATGTGTGGTGTGTGTGTATGTGTATGAGTTTAGCCTTTTTGTTTTTGTTTTTTGGTTGGCAGTAACCGATTTTAATGACTAGCTTTTTAAAATACAGTACAAAGACTTTGTAAATGTGATTCAGGGCCCCCAGCACCCCTGTGTCTGCAGAGTGCCTTCAAAACTCAGCTGTTCCAGCCGGTGCCAACCTGTGAACTTCCCACCATATCCCACAATCTGCTATTCCCCCAAACCACTTCCCAGTTTCCTTTCAGTAATCTTTCTGAAGGAGCCAGGACAATAGGGCCTGTTGTTTAGTGAATTTCTTTATTATTTTCAGCCTTTAAAATGTAATTTCCATCTTTTGCAATGAATTTGTTTTTTTTTTTTTTTTGCTTCATTTTGTTTAAATTTTCAGGTATCTAGCTCCCCTTTTATATTATTTTTAATTTTTTTATTACCTGTTATAGGGTGTTCCTCCAGAAGCAAAGAGCAAAATTTTACTGTTGTGATGTACCAATTCTAACTAATTGTAATTTTTAATTTCATGCGTTTAATCATTGTCTCTTCATTTTAAGACTTTTAATACAAATGTCATTTTTAAAGAAACAAATCCAAAACTATTGTTTGTGTTTCTGTGTTTCATATTCAGTGATTAATACAGTATCATAGCTGAGGTGGATGGGGTAGGTGCAAGATACTCTCCAGAGCTATTTGTCAAATTTTGAAGACAGAAGTGTCTCAGTGATAAGTTGGATGACATTACTCCCAACTTCTTAAGTTTGGAGAAAATCATCAAGGTCAAGGAAGCCCTGGGTATGGCCATTCCCATCTGATTAGAAGATGAACAGGTATTTTGAATCTGATCTGACATGGAACAGTTTACCTCATTGTGGGTAGGGAACAAGAGAACTCAGCTATTAATATTGCCTTAGATCTGGGAAAGTAACCATCCATCTGGCAAAGTAGGATGGCACTTTTAATTTTTTTCTTCCTTTTTTCCCCCATTTATATTACATGTCATGTCAAAAATGTATTTGGGAAAGATGGTTTTCAATTCTGAAGTCATACCTAGTGATGTTTTTTGCAGTACATTTGAATGGGTTGTAGACACTTGTCTAAACCCTTTTGAGATTTTGTTTTGGAAATAGATTTAAAAGAAAACAGCCTAAGATAACATTGTTTTTCTCATTTACACCCTTCAGTTTGTGGACCATATTTGACCTCATGAGTTTTTCCTTTTAACAGTAGGAGGCAGTGTGAGCTTTTTATTTTTCTTAAGGTGGTCTTAGTAATATAACTACTATATATGTTCATACATATCAAGAAACTGAGTACTTGGTCTATGAAATCTGAAGTCTTGACAAAGGGATTTATTCCCTTGACAAAACCAAAAGAAATTAACAGGCCACAGGTTTCTTTAAAGCTGTGTTAACATATCTTGCCTTAAAATGTGTGTGTGTGTGTTTGCTTTTCTTTTAATTTCTTATTTTCTTTTTGCCCAAGAGGCATCTCGTTACTCCAGCAATGGAGGAAGAATAGAGAATTTTTCCTGGTGATGGTCCTACTGCCATTTCTTCCCCCCATTCTGATCTCACTTAAGTTTGATATCAAACACAGTTGGGAGGCAATAGTATCAATATTCTAAATGTAGAAATTAAAAGATACTGTATAAATTTATGCCTTTGCAAAGATTCATTCTTGTATTTGAATAAATTTAGTTGCTAAAGTAGATCCAAAGTATTGAGAATGCTGAAGTCATGTCAAGTACTGTCTGGAGGGTTTTTTAAGAAAAGGCATTTGGCATTTAACTGTCCTTTGTTTTATTTTTAATTCTTTGGAAACCTTTTGACATAAAAGGATGCCAAGTATCTAAGAAATGTATATACTGACAGGAAATATTTGAAAGTGGAAAATTGGAAATGAAATAGGTTGCTGGGTGCATTAATCACCTTCACACAGGATTTAGTCATTTGCATGACTTCTTTATAGGTCTAGGATGGCAGAGCAGAAGATTTTAATATGCTTTTTACTAAGTACTGTAAAATAAATGCTTTTTCGATTCTCAGTGAAAGCAATTTTACATGTGCCTGAAGCAAGAAAATAGTGTTTTTGGTTTTATTCCCTATTTTCTTGGCAACATTGAGAGAAATTAGGAACATTGCTGTTTTTTTCTTAAAAATGTTTTTAGGAATATGTTAGTTTCTTTGCCTTTCTTTTGGTATTAGGGTGTGAAGAGATTAGAGGATTTGTTTCGATGAAAAAGTGTTAAAGGAAGTGAGTCAGGGAGGGCGGAGTTTGTTGTAAGGCAATCACCTGTCAAAACAGAAATTGGGTGGGAATGGAGTCTTTATCTTGGGGAGCAAAAGCTGACTTAAACTTGACCCCTGCTGTTTTTAAACAGCTTTTCCGTTTGGTCTCTGACAGTCAACCCAGGTTTTATGTTATGTCAAAAGGGTTATTTTTGACTTCCTTTTTTAATACCCTCAGGAAAGTTAAAGGTATCATCTTAGGTCTAACACTCTAGTTTTTGCCAGTTGTGGTTATTTGGTAGAACAATTTCCATGTTGGTAACTCTTATAGACTTCATTGAATCACATTTGGGGACCAGATGTATTTGGGGATAGAATTCTTTAAATTTATGAGACTTCATGCTTCCTGATCACTTACTATTTCCTGTGGTTGGGAATCCTAGAATCCCTGATCCATTTGATCTGTTAAGGTAGTTTTGTCATTGTACCCTCTTTTGGGTCATATTCTACTATTTCTCACAGGGGGTATCAGAAACAAAGCTATATGTAGCAGTTAGTCTTGAGAAGTAGATACACTTTCACTGTCCTAAAAGCATAGTTTGTTTTTTTTTTTTTTCACAACAGCTGGAAAAAGTTTCTGCATTATAAATATAAAGGGAACCGAGATTTAATTTGGAGATCATCACTGTTAAAATGGTATCAAACATTTGTCACAGTGTCTTACTTGGGGAAAGTTTGCTAATACAAGTTTTGTCTGAAAATTTAGTAAATTTTAAAATACTAATAGAACGTGGTATTCTTGGTTACAGTATTTTATGCAGACTATTAGGGATGATTCAATGCATTTAATTGAACATAGTGCTAGTTCTAGGTGAGATCTTTGTTAACTGGATTTTGAAAGTTTGAGAAGGCTACAGGAAACATCTAGTCCAAAGGTTCTCAAACTTGACCACATATCAAAATCACCTGGAGCTTAACACATGTACTGCTGGGACCCTCCTCCAGTTTCTTATCCAGTGGGTCTTGGGTAGGGTCTCAATTTTCATTTCTAACAAGTTTCCAAGTGATTGTGATATTGCTGTTCCAAGGACCACACTTTGAAAACCAGTGATCTAGACTGAACTCCGAATGAGTGCTATGCTACTGAGAGCCACCTAGATATTTAGAGACACAGACTTAATACTCACGTCACACGTTTTGGAGTGCTGTCTACTACAGTTAGAGAATAATCTCTTGAAATCTACAGCTGAAGAGGACATACATCATTTATACTAAGACCATTTATTGTGTGTGAAATAGAGTAAACATTGTGGGTAGCTTTTGATCATTTTCACATTATTATGGGAACATTTTGACTATGGTTTTCAATGTTAATTCAGAAGTTGACTTTAAATGAGGTTAGAATAGGAGTGTAGCCTAAGTGATCAGAATCAACATTCCCCTTCTCCCCCCCCCCCCCGCCCCCACGGAGGGAAAACAGCTCCCAAATTTGGAAAGTATATTTTCAATAAAAGGGAACACTTTAAAGTATTTGTCTTCTCTTTAGGTCAATGTTAAAAAACAAAGATTTTAACTTTTCATGGCAAGGGTTCTAAAAATCATTGTATTAGAGAGTTTAAATCTTCAGGTCGTGGTAAGTGCATGTGTATGTCTGTGGCTCAGTTTCTTAGCCAGACTTCCAGGTATGAGTTAATTCCTTCTCAATTAGTTCTGTAGTTGCTTCTGGGAAGTTGCATACCACAGAACTGTGTACCTTGCAGCTTCTTTTGTTATGCATCTTAATTCCCTCAGAAGCTCCCAGAATTTAAGATCTGGTTTTCAAGATAGTTTGGGGGGCTTCTAAAGAAACAATAGTAGATCTAATTACAAGTAGTAGATTGCTCACTTCAAATTTCTCATTTACAATTTGCAAAACTGGTTTAGTACCAATTTATAGACCAAGGGAGTAATAGCTACTATTTAGATGCCACGAATAATGTCATCATGCTTAGGTGGGGAAGAAAGGACCTTACTCAAATCTCCATTTTCATTTTTAATGCTTCCTGGACTTCAGTTATTTTCTTGCTTTTGCCTCAAGAATAATAATAAATATTTTTGGTGAAAATATATTATTTTGTTCAACCCTATTGTTGTTACTGTCATTTTCATAGCACAATAGTCTACAGCTTTCTGTAGTAGCTTAATAGCTATTTGCTGAATGAATGACATATGGAATGTTACATTTGAAACTATTAGAAGGTGAAGAATGTTGATTGAAGGATGGTAGGATTTTATCTTCCCTACCCGTGACAAATTTATTAAGATTGTCTTTAGAGCTATGTCTTCCATTCTAACTATACAGAAATAAAATAATTTGAAGTTTAGTTTGCCCATCTGATAAAGGAACATTACTCTATACTATTCTAAGGTTTATTTTCAACAAAAGTTATCTGTGGTTGATAGTTTGAGACCTATGACAGTTTTAGGAAGCCCCATAATCAAAAGGCCGGTGATAGTACAATGAAATGCTGACTTCAGTATATTTTTAATCTTGGCTTTCATTTTACGGTTATTTCTACTACTGTTAATATGGACTAATACTTGATTTTATTAACCTGTTTACAAAACAGGTTTGTTAACCTTTTAATTTTAGGGTTATATTTATGTTGGAATAAGATATTATAAAAGTGTCCTATGCTATGAATTTATTTGCCATATATAAGACAATCAGAATTATTTGATAGTTCATTCTAATCCTGGTTAATAATCATTAGGGCTAAACTAGTTTACATTAAAGAATGAAAAAAAACAATTAGATAATTTTGTTAAAAAAAAAATTATAGAGACAGGGTCTTGCCATGTTGCCCAAGCTGGTCTTGAACTCCTGGGCTCATCCTCCCTCCTTAGCCCCACAAAGTGCTGGGAATTACAGGCTGAGCCACTGCATCCAGCCAGGGGTGACAATTTCTAAAGCCTTAATTAGTGAAATGGTTTGTTTTGAGAAGCAGAAATGGCTAAGTTGTATAGACATGCAGGAAAAGCAAAATGGCCTTATGGCTATTGAAATTGTGAGTGTTAATCTGTTTTTTAAATTGGGGGAGACAGCTATTTGCATTTTTTCTTACCCAATTGACTAAACTTACTCTTTTTAAAATGAATTATCTTGCAAAATTATGTGAGGCTAAGTTTGTCAGAGGATTGAAAATGTGTGGTTGGTTGATTTGTGGTAATTGTGAAAAATTGCAAAGGCAGAAACATTTTTTTAAAAATAGAAAAGAGATTATTGATACCTTGTGAATACAGGTGTCCCCAAAAGGCCTGAGATCAAGCTTAATTGTTAACAATATGGTTGCAGTGGAAGTTGGTAAACAGCTGAAATAGATTTATTGATTATTCAACACTTACTGAGCATATTCTACTATTATTAATAGCTGTTGTGTGAGCACTAATACTTAGGAAGTCAGGTGAAAGTGCAACAGCTTTATGCTCTTTTTCACTATAATCTGTGAAATAGTGTACATTAATCATATATGGAAAAGCACATCTACATGTGTCATCAGTTACAATACTGTGGGTCTATTTGGCAGACAATAGAGCAGATAAATTTGTTGAACATTGGGTCTTTTCTTTGAAAGGTATGTGGAAATTGTAAATAAAAATGGATTCCATGAATTTTAAATAATTCATAATTGTTCCGTTGTATGTGGAAATGTTTAATAAGACTGTCATTTATTTTTCTGCATCGTTTTCAACTTCCTTTTTGAGATTAGCTGAAATTGAACACTTACAAGGAGGAAATGATTTTGCTTTTATATTTTCATGTCCAAGGGAAGAGGAAAACCTGAAAAAGATTTATAAAATTTATTCACTTATGTTTTTCTATAGTGAGGAAACAAAAGGAGAGGATAATTTAGGTTATATTCTCAAAGAAATAAACAGTCACTGAAATACAGTCTTTCAGATTCTTCATGTAAAGAAGATTCAGGACAAGATGTTTCTTTTGTAAAAGATAATCTTGTAAAAATGAGTGTGCCAAAGAGTTAGGTTGATGTTTTAAGTTTGCTAAGCTAATATTTTACACAAAAGCTCTCATGCTTGTTGGAAGAAGGCAACCAGCTCAGAGAAAGAAATGTTGGGTAACAAGCTGGAAGCGATAACAATAATAGCAGTTATTGTAAAACCATATGAATTGAAGGGTGGAGTTGTGATTATTAACCTCCTGTGGTTTGCAAGATGATTTCTAGTCACCATTTTGTATAGACTGTCACATGAATTTAACAACATGCTTTTTAAATGTGGAAAGTTGCAGAATTATAGGGGTAGCAGAATCATTTATGTTATGTGGAGGTACTTCATTAAAAAAAATTTTGACTTCCATTGAACCATTTATGAAATGCAGATTTATTAAAGTTTCATAGCTTGAGTAAGGGTTTTAATATTTTATATGTTATCTGGCCATTTATAAAGTTTTCAAAATCTGGTTATTCATGCACTCAGAATATTCTAATGTTATTTAATATTATACATATTAATATTAACATAATATTTTAGATATTCTCTTTAGAGGCTAACATTACATTGAATTATATCTTCTTCAGGAAAAGAGCCTCTAGGGATCTGTACTAGCATAATTCTATAAGAATATATATTTCAATCAAACATACTTTATATTTTAGATAGTATTGAATTTAATCTTTTAAGTAGGTAATAGAATTACAAGTATATTTCAACATTATTCATCAAGGAGTAGAAAAAGTATTGAGGCTTGACTTTTTTTACTGTGATTTTAGTTATCTTATCTTTAGTTAGTCATATTGGCTGGGTGTGGTGGCTCATGCCTATAATCCCAGCACTTTGGGAGGCCAAGTGGGAGGATTGCTTGATCCCAGGAGTTCAAGACCTGCCTGGGCAACATAGGGAGAATCTGTCTCTACAGAATAAATAAATAATTACTTAACCATATTACCTGTTTTTTTTTCTTTTATATATTATTTCATTCATCTACATCTGGTTTATGCAAATGGTTCTCTAGTGTAATCCACATCAGTTGATTAAAAAAAACCTAAAAACTACTTAACTGATGGCTATATAAATGTGCTTTTTGAGGTATTTTCCCACTATATTTGAGGTGCAGACTGAAACAGATCCAACCAGAGATCTTTGCCTCCTAAATAGACATTACCTTTAGGTTTGGGCATAAGCTCTGTTTTGGTTTTAAAACTAATAAATGAAGTTTGTTAGAAAATAAATTAGATTGTAGGAATATTTATCTAAATATACTTCGAGCTGCCAAAGAATATTTGCAGACCATCTCTTCTTCCTCACTAATTTTGTGCTGAAGTAAAAAAAAACAATGAGAAATAAGTTCAATGCATCTCTAAGAGAATATTGTATCATGAAAGGCAGAGTAAACAACAATGAAAACATTCTAAAAAACAAAATTGTTTTTCTGCATTTTTGTACAAACCAGCTTTTATTTTGTTAATGAGGAAGTATAAATAGTGGTAAGGGTAATGAAATATATTTCTGTATCATTTTGTTAGCATTTAGCAGGATATCTATGTACTGTTTCCTTGTTGCTAAGACATAGAATGTGATGGAGCTGAGAAGGGGGAATAGCTGCAGGCCCAGGTGGAATTGTTCTTCAGCTCACACCTCCACTCCTGTGTTCCTCCAGTACTAGAGGATTTCCTTGTGTTGGAAGTGATTTGCTGTGACTCAAGATTTAGTCTCAGGGCTCCCCCTGGGCAAAGGTGAAGAAGCCTAAGGGATGCAGTGTTGCTGCTGCTATAATAAATTGGACTCACAGCAGGATTTCTCAACTTCGTCCCTGTTCACATTTTGAGAGAGGTAATTTGTTGTGGAGGCTGTCCTAGGCATTTTAGTACGTTCAGCAGCAGCCCTGGCCTCCACCCACTCAATGCCAGTATCATCCTCCCCACCCCAGTGGTGAAAACCAAAAGTGTCTGCAGACATTGCCTCTGGGAATGGGGAGGGCAAAATAGTCCTTGGTTGAGAACCACTCCTCTGAACTAGACCTTGTGTGGATGGAGGAAGCATAAACCAGAGAGTAGATTTCAGTCTAGAGTAAGCTAGCAGCAGTTAAGACTTTGCTTCCTCTAGAGCATTGCAGTGTATGCTTCTCTTTAAAAATAGCAACTCTCTCCCTCTCTCGCTCTTTTTTTTTTTTCAGACAGAGTCTCATTCTCTGTCCCCCAGGCTGGAATGCAGTGGTGCAATCTTGGCTAACTGCAACTTCCGCCTACCAGGTTCAAGCAATTCTCCTGCTTTAGCCTCCCAACTAGGTAGGATTACAGGTGCACCACCACGCCCGGCTAATGTTTGTATATTTAGTAGAGATGTGGTATCTCCATGTTAGTCAGGCTGGTCTTGAACACCTAACCTCAGGTGATCTTCCTGCCTCAACCTCCCAAAGTGCTGGAATTGCAGGTGCAAAGCCACCATGCCTGGCCTACAACACTACTGTGCTTCTGACAATATAAGTTGAGTCAGTTCATTACATCCACACTTAAGATAAATACATAGTATTCAGGGATTAATATTTGTTGAAAAATTTGGTTCCCTGGAGGGAGAAGAAATATTCAAAAGAAGAGTGTGTTCTGGTTGGGGTGATGAACTTGAATGGTCAAAGATGATCTCAGGGAAAACTGATGACTAAGCAGCCATGTGTAAGTGTGAGAAGTCCTGAAGGGGAGGTTGAGAGCAACTGTGTTGCACTTTGGTTTCCTGCCCCCTTAAGTTTTTAGTGAAAGACGGTTAGAAGGTGTTCATCCTTTACTCATCTTCCTCCAATTCACCTCACAGCCTCTTTCCAGCCCACTGCAGGCTTCTATTCAATACCGGACCTCCCTGCTAGGATAGAAAGGATGTACTTTATGCATTCTGTCCTTTATTTTCATTTTTACAATTAGCTCCTTTCATCCTTTCTCCTTTCTTTTCTTTTCTTCCTTCTTTCTTAGCTACCTTCAGAACAAATAAGTGAGTATGTCCAGGGCAACTCCTGCTGCTTAACTTCACACATCTGCCTGTACCCAAACCTCTCAGCAAGGCTGTCAAGAAGAGGGCAGCAGAGACAGTGGTGACTGCATTGTAATACAGTGCCTCAAAT